TCAATTATATTTACTAAGGTTTCACTTTCTTTCACTATTGCTTTCAAAGACTAGACCGTATTCTAACCTATAGTAGTTGAAATTCCTGATAAACTTTGGCTAAATTCACCTCTCCTGCGGTCTTCAGGGAGGAACCGCGCTCTGGGTTGAACTGTACGCACCAACGACTCGAGATGACTTGGCTGTCCACAAGAAGAAAGTCCAAGAGGTGGAGAACTGGCTGGTGGAGAGCATGGCTGGGATGAAGGTAAGGGGGTCTTTGTCTTATAAGTTGGTAAATTGTTTTTGTTTATCAGATTTTTTTTTCTTTCTTTCTTTCTTTTTTTTTCACAGAAGATTCAGCAAAATGGTACCCAGTTTTTTGTTTTTTGTTTTTGTTATTATCCTTTCTTTCGTTTATTATTATTGTTATTATTATTATTACTATTATTATTATTATTATAATTATTATTATTATTATTTTAGATTATAATGATTTTTTTGGATAAGTTAAATGAGTAAAATTGCATATTTCATTAAATCATTAGAAAAAAAAAGTTCACGTAATCTCTTTTGAATATATGTTGTACACTATCTTCCTTATCGTCAAAGGGCCGTAGGTTTCTTCTCTTGACGGGTCCTGCAGGCTGCGGAAAAACGGCCACAATAAAGATATTAGCAAGAGAGGCAGGGTTCACGACACAGGAATGGATCAACCCGACGTCAACGAGTTACAAGTCCTCTTTCGCGGATCAAGGTTTGTTTGCATGTTGAATTTAGTTCTTTTGAGTAATTAGGAGATTGATACACAAAAAGAGGCACACTGGTATGTACTGTTTTCAGTTCTTTTTGTGCATATTTTTCTTCTTCTTTTTTTTGCAAAGGGAGAGGAATACAATTTTTAATCCATTAAAGTTGAATATGTCTTCAGTTATAAATGATTCTTCACTTAGTCCAAAACCGAAGCTACTTGTTGGATTATGTGGTCAGCAAAATTGTTATTTATTTATCTATTTAATTTGATGATTAAATCTATCTCTGTCGTACTTTCTGATATTTTCAAGACGTCATACGAATTCTGTTACATCCTTTCAGAAAATACATGGATCCCCGGGGACACTGTCGTCCCTGGTAGCCAGACGTCTCAATTCCGAGATTTCCTCATTCGGACGAGCAAATACAGGAGCGTGTGCGGGACGGGAAAGGCCGGAAATATCATCCTGATTGAAGACTTCCCAAACGCCTTCCTACGAGATCCTTCCGAGTTTCACATGATGCTCAGGTTGGTGTATTTTCCTTATCTTTTCTTTGAATCAATTTAGTGTAAAGTAACTTCTGTTTGATAGTAATGTAGCTCACCTGCTCTACATTTCAGTTCACTACATAACAGGCTCAAGAATCAGAGCTAATTTCCTTTCAGTAAAAACCCTATATAGATAGTCCCCTACTTAAGAACATTCTACTTATGAACATTCCATACATACAAACAAAATTGTGTGAAAGATGCTTGCAAACTTCAAATTTCCCGGGCACAAATATAGTTCAAGAGTCTGGTACTGTATAAGGTATGTCGTACTTATTGAGATTTATTTACAGGTATTCTTAATGTAAACAAAACTATAAAACAATAGAAAACAAGGTAATGGAGACCCACCTTTCGACATACAAACAAATCAACTTACAAACAGCCTCTCGGTCCCCATTGTGTTCTTAAGTTGGGGACTTACTGTAATACATCTCACTATTGCAGACAATATAAAGGCAGCAGCCCCGTTGTATTCATCATGACGGACTCTACCAATCAGCAGAGCAGCGCCAAGCATGTATTCCCCGTCAATCTTCAGCAGGACCTTTCCATCATAAATATTCAGTGTGTATTTTATGTCGTCCATTTTTGTTGCGCTTTTTAGTTTTGATATTTTATGTGTGAATGTTGGAAATGCTTGTAATGTCAGGTAAATGGTCATGCATTATTATTATTAAGGTTGTTATTATTATTATTGTTATTACTATTACTACCATTATTATTATTATTATTATTATTATCATTGCTGTTGTCATTATCATTTGGTTATTGTTATTGTTATCATTTAGTCATTGTAATTATTATTATTATTATTATTATTATTATTATTATTATTATTATCATTATTACTATTATCATCACTATCATTAATATTATTATTATTATTATTATTGTTATTATTATTGTTATTGTTGTTATTATTTTATTATTATTATTATTATTATTATTATTATTATTATTATTATCATTGTTGTTGTTATTACTATCATTTTATTATTGTTATTATTATTATTTTGTAATTATTATTATTATTATCATCATCATTATCATCATTATTATTATTAATATTATTATCATTATTATTATTATGACTATTATTGTTATTATAACTATTATTGTTTTATATCACTGTTATTACTATTATTATTTTTACTATCTCATTGTTATATATCTCATGGTACTTAATTGCTAAAATGTGTTCTTTAGAGTGATGTGACTCATTGATTACTTTTTCTTAATTAAGAAAGAAGGCTTGTATCCACAGTGAGAGGGAAAAGGAGAAGGAAAGAGAAAGAGAAGTAGGGAGGGAGAAAGGTAGAGAGGGATAGAGGTAGAGAAGTAGAGGGAGATAGGGAGAGAGGAAGAGAAGTAAAGAGAAGAAGAGGGGGAGAATAGGAGCAGGAAAGAGTGGGGGAGAGAGAGAGGAGAGGAGAAGCAGAGAGAGAGAGAGTTTGTGTGAGAGTGTGATTATGGATTTAGATATGCTATATCATTATTTTGCAATCCACTTCAGATTCAATCCCATTGCAAGTAGTTTGCTGGTGAAAGCCTTGAGTCGTATTGCAAGTATGGAGAGTGTCTGCTCAGGACAGCCTGTGCCCCCCAAAGAAGCCCTCCAGACTTTGGCCGATGCGTCTGGAGGAGACGTGAGAAGCGCAGTTAATGCCCTTCAGTTTGCTGCGAAGAAAGGTACTGCGTGTACTGATGTTCTTGATTGTGTGTGGTTAGTCACTCAGAAAATTGTCCCAGATCTTGTGAATTTTTTATTATTGTGTTAATTGTGTGTGGTTAGTCACTCAGAAAATAAATCACATGTCTTATGAAGTTTTAGATTATGACATGCTAGGTTTTTTCCTTATTGTGTTATGTTATTACCATTTAAAACTATGAATAAATTCACAGATCTGTATATTAATTAGTTGTTAGAATATTTAATGACTAGAATTTTAGATTAGGAGTGACAGAAACATGTAACTGTATCTGATTAGTAGAGAAAAAATCATGCTGACCATAATGAAGTGACAAAACTTCTGATTTCTGTGACACAGTGTCATGTCATGATCCATAACTAAAGAAAAGCAGGTTCTGACACATTTTATGGTTCCAGATGTTTACCATATTCAAGACTTGTTTGCTGGAGGGTCTGATAAGGGAAAATCAAAAGCTTCTATTAAGACGCAAAGAAAGGCAAAAGGGACCAAAACTTCATCATCAAAAGCAGGCGATGCCGACTCTGAAAATCTCATAGCCGTAGGAGGAAAAGATGCCTCACTTTTTCTCTTCAGAGCCTTAGGAAAAGTTTTGTATTGTAAACGTAAGTAAATGTGTACAGTAAGTACAGTATTCCTTGTTATTTTCATATGTCTTAGTTTCTTTGATTCCTGTTATCAATTCTTACATGATATGCCTGGAAATTAGCCAGAACTAATAAGGTTAGGAACTATACTGTTAACATACTCATATGCAAAAACAATCCTTACCAAAGTTTCCAAATATCTTTATAGGTAACCAAGAAGGTGCAGTAGACCCTCTGCCTAAGCACCTGAAGTCAGAAGAACGGTTACCATTGCAAGAAAACCCAGAGAGTATTTACGACAAAACCTCAATGGGAGCAACGAGTTTCAGCCTCTTCCTGCACCAGAATTGCTTGGCCTTCTATTCCAGCATAGACAACTTAGGGAAAGCATTGCATCATCTAACAGATTCGGATATTCTGTCTGCGGAGTGGACAGTGAGTAATTCTGTACTGTATCGTCTTAGCAGGAGGTAAAAGTGAAAATTAAGATTTGGGAATGTGTCATGTACTTAGGATACATATCTGAACATGTTTTGTGTTTATTTCTTATTTTTTTCTATATCATATTTGTAATTTGATATTTTCTTAATGTAGAAATTGGATATACTATGTAGTTCATGATGGTTCCTCTACATTTCATTTTTATTTGTAACTGAATCATCTTTCTTACTTGGGAATCCTATGCTAATGTCTCTAGTTCATAGTTCTTCTTTATCAATTAGATCTTGTACAGTGTTTTCTTTAATTAATTCAAAATATACAATTTTTTTTTTCTGTGTGCTCATTTATCCTGTAGTTTTTTTCTGTGCTAATTTTCTGCCATATGTTCTATATCACAGGGGAAAAACATTCTGGAAGATTATGCTGCATCTGTAACTGTGCGAGGTTTGATGCATGCAAACCATGCAGAACAGACGGGCAGTAGATGGAGGCCGCTGACAAGACCAGTGTGGTACAGTGTCGCAAAGAAAAGCCAAGAGCACATGTCAGTGTTAAGAGCCGAACACCGAATGGCCTCGTTCACAACTGTGGTCGTCCCATTGCAAGCAAAGATCTTTTCAGCCACCAGGAGAGGTAAGTTGAGAAAAAGGGAATAGTTGTGAATATTCCATGGGGATCGATTGATTATTTAAAATTATCTGCCGCGTCAACAGCTAAGGTCATTACCAGCATTTTTTCATGGAGATATACAGCATAGAAACTACTGGAGTGATTTCCCATCTTTATGTGTGATTTTAACCCATTCTTTTCAAAGATTAGATTGACTAAGTCAAGGTTAAGTCTTGAAATTGAGAGCGAGGGGGTCGGATGGGGAGGTTACTAATAAGTCTATTAATACAGTTGAAAACTTAATAGCATATTTCTTATTCAATGAAGTCCTTTTTCTGACTTATGTATATATTTCTCTTTTTATATTTATGTATTGAAGTTCTATCATTTTTTTTTCTTTGCCTCTAATATTTTTAGATACTGAAGTGATCCCCCCCCACCTCCCATGTTTTTACAGGTCAGTTCTCCTTGACAAGGGAAATCGGCTCCTTCTCAAACATCCAGATGAAGAATTCCTCAGGGGATCAGTTAGACGAGCATGACGCCAATTCATCGGTCGTAGAGGATGAGGAGTCAGAGCAAACAGGAGGAACGGGGAATGATGATAAAGAGAACAAAGACGCAGAAGTCGATCTGTTGGAAAACCAAGAGGCCAGCGATCCTGACGAAGACTTCAGAATTGACGAATTTGACGATGATTGACAACTCTTTAAAAAAAGAAAGAAAATGCTTTGAATATATTGTAATTGTAATAAAATTAATTTCTGGTAATGTTTTTGTTATTGTTATTCTTTTTTTTTGTGCTTAGCTTTCTGATGCAAGTTTTGCAATAATGTCCTTTAAATAGTTATATGTATATTCTCTTGATTTTACATATATATTAGGCTGTGTATAGCAGAAAATAAGTGGTCAGAAAATAATCATTATACTTGTGATTTATTGATAACTGTTTTATCTACTGTGGTATTTTTAGCATCCAATTGGAAACTATATAGTTATTTGCAAAATGGGTGAATTTTGCTGTTCAGAAGTTTATGTCATGATATATTAAACCAATTCCATGAAATTACTTTATTTTGAACATTATGTAGCACACCATATTCTCACAAGATCTTATAATGTTTAATAGTTTTAACATGGGGAGTTACTCATGACTGAAAGAGGATATAAGAAATATCAATCTTTAACAAAACCATACTAATGCTCATACCCTAAGAGAAATAATGATATGGAGTGGAATAGCAGGTGTTTGTAATCAGCTGATGTTATTGTCCATGACCGACATTCCAGTCTTTTGCTGGTCCTAACAGTTTCTCTGAATAAGAGAGATGGGCGAAGGCCTCATGTATATAAGACCAATATCCAAGCTTTTTTTTCTGCATCATATATGAGGTTACATATCTGTCCATACAGTTGCTGAGAAATTTTATGACATTTACCCATACTGGTTAGGGAAATATACAAAACAAAAGAGATATAAGGAAGAGGCAATTCCCTTCAAAACATGGCAGTGATGGGTTCATACTAAAGTATAAATAAAACGCTGAATGGAAGTGCCAAGTCTAAATATCTAGATATTGGAAAGAGCAGGGAAACACTTATTTCTTCCTCTTCCTCTCCTCTTCTCTTCTCTTCTCCTCTCCCCCCCCCTCTCTCTCTCACACACATACACACATAAGGAAAAAAAAATAAACAAATAAAAATGACAGTCTTTTTTCCACAATTAAGAGTGAGCAGTTCTTCAGGAAACTTTGCACTTCTTTATCGACAACTGATGAGTGGATATAGAATAGTATGCTTTAGAATATGTTGCAACTGTTAAGAAGCATGTTCAATTTAACAACAACAGCAAAGAGAAGAAGACGAGAGAGAGAGAGAGAATGGAGGGGAGAGGAAAAGGAAAGGAGAGAATAAGAGAGAGAGAGAGAGATGGTTAATGGTTAAAAGGAAAATAAAAGTGCTAGACATGTAAGGTCATGTAACACTATAGGAAGGCACAGTAAAGGAATCAATGAGTGTTTGGGTTAAGGCAGGGCTAGGTAAGGGGGATTAAATCAAGTGTAGGATATGCATGCGTCTGAGGAAGGAGAACAGGTTGTCAAAGCAGATAGTGTGGGATTCTGTAAGGATGTCTGATAGGTTGGGAGGTCGGTGAAGGGAGGATAAGGGGGGGGGAGAAGCAGAGGTACGGGCTGTATCAAAGTGTAGACAGAACAACAGAACATTGTCTGTTCAGGAGACTGATAATTTTACAGTATATAATTTATTAGTGCGGAGACTTGACCAGAAAGGCATAGGCGGCGAAGCGAGTTTGTGACTGGAGGGGGGGGGCGAATGTGAAAATTCAGAATTTCAATATTTAAAAAAAAGCAAATATGATAACCTGTTATAGGTGGCGAGGGGAGTCTTTGCTTTGGGGGGGGGGGGGGGGATTCGGATTACCTAGTATAGGTGGCGAAGCGAGTCTTTGCCTAGGGGGAGGGAGATTCGAAAATCAAAAGCTTAAGATATATTTAGAAAATAGCAAACATGACATTCTGCTAGTTAGGCGTCCATGAGCCCAGGAAAGTCTGTCCTTTACTATACTATACTCCACTATACCTATACAATACTTTTAATAAATCAAGTTCATGGAAACCAACATGTCTACTGTAAGTGTGATACCTATTCTGGTAAAATGAGATATAGTAAAATTATAGTATATTTTTATTAGTCTGTGTGAACGTGAAAAACCAAATGTAAAGCACAATTTTTCAGCAATTTCGGGGGGGGGGGGGCGGAGATATACTCTCGCCCCTCCAGTTTTCATTGGGGGGGGGGGGCGCTCGCCCCTCTACCCCCCCCCCATCCCCCGCTTCCGCCGTTTATGCAGGAAGGTCATAGAGTGTGTGTGTGGGGGGGGGGGGGGTTCTAGCATAGCTGGACACCCAACAAAATCTGATAAATTTATGGCGTGTGGACAGTTAGAAGCACCAGTTCTGGATCTACAAACAGGGGGGTTGGTGGTGTGTATTGACTTTATGAGAGTTAATGTGGTACGGGAGTCAGTAAAAATAGTAAAAGAGGAAGAAGGGAGTGAGTATATGTGTTTTAAGGCAAAGAGGAATGCGTACAGTTCTGTAGTAAGGAAACTGGATTCATGAGGGAGGGGGTATTTGAAAGTGCGAGTTGGGAAGGTTACTGCGAAACCAGCACCAGAGGTTGATTTTGGGCCATCAGTGTAAACAAGAATACTGGAAGAATAAGTACAGACATGATCAAGGAAATGAGTGGGAAGGACAGAAGGGGGATATCTGATTTTGGTGGGTCAGGGAAAACAGAGGAGCAAATACGGGGGTAAGGTATAAGCCATGGAGGAACGGAATGGACAGAAAACGGAAGAGGTCAGAGATGGGGAAAGGGGGAATGGGAGAGGAGGGTATCCATGCATGGAAAAAGAAGTAGGTAAAAGTGGAGAAGAAGCAAAGATAGGAAGCAAGGATCGTAGGATAGTTAGTTTGGCGAGGAAAAGTTGGTGGAATCGACCATAGCATCGGAGAGAGAGAAGGATACGACGTCGGAAGAGAGAGATGGCATGCCTGACTCAGTGTACAGGCTTTCGATTGGAGAGGAGCGGAAGGCGCCTAGGGTTAAGCGAAGACTGCAGTGATGGATTGTATCAAGATAAACAAGGAGGGAGGTTGAGGCAGAGGAGTAGATATGGCATCCATAATCGAGAGTGGAGAGGATCAAGGTAACGTGAGGATAGATGAGAGTTTTGCGGTCTGAGGCCCAGGATTTATGGGAAAGAGTTTGTAAGATTCGGAGACGGCGGCGAACTTATCTTTTAATGTAAAAGATATTGTTTCGCCAGGACAATTTGGAGTAAAAAATAACGCCAAGGAATTTGCCAGAGGAAATATACTGGACTGGAGTGCCATATATGAAGAGTGGAGGTTGAGAGAGAAAAAAGATAAGTGTGCGAGAGATCTGGAAAGTGCATTTGGAGAGGAAAGACTTTATAAAGACATCCATGTTTCTGCGTATGCCTAGGGAGGACAATTGTTGGAGAACATGGTACCGCCATGTGGTATTATATGCAGAGGGAAACCAAACTGGGAAGTAGAGAGAAGAGTATGAGATTCAAGATTCCACATTAAACGGGAGTTAACCATTCGCTCTAGCAGTTTTCACAAGCAGCTAGTTTATACAATATACCCACGTGGCAGTTTCTTTAGCCACGCCGCTGTGGCTCCGCCCCTGCTTCCGGAGGCCGCTGCTACTTATTCTCCAAGGATGACCCCTGTCAAACCAGAGTGTGATCGGACGGGCGAGGTCACACACCGACCCTCGCGGCCTGTCCGGGCTCAGGTCAGGCCTCGCCAGTGACCTTAGCCGCCCTCGCCTTAACCCAAGTCTTGTCTCATTGTGTCTATCTAACCGTGTGCTGAACTCTTATAGAATAAAGAGATTAAGCCACCCAAGCTTTTACTACTCCCTGTCACCAATGTTTAGAGGTCCTTCCCTGACCATTACATAGTTAGAGGGATGGGAAGGATAAAAGCTTCTCGCCAATGAGAAGAAAAATTCCCTGACGTCCATATGTGATTGAAAACAGTTAATAGGAAAGATAGAGAGGAAGATGGAAGGTGTCGGAGGATACGGTAGACAATATCGCCAGGGACTTCATGAGTGTTGCGGTACGACTGTAAAGCAGCGTTGAGTTCAAAGGAAGAAAAGGGAGCATTATAGGATTTAGCAGAGGATAGGGTGAAGATGATAGGGGTGCGTTCCTTGATGGCCTTAATAGAAGAGAAGTGTGGAGGAAGGTGAGAGCCACTACTGACCTGGCTGAAATAGTCACCCTGTTCAGTAGTGACTTGGAGAGGGTCAGAGATGAGAGTACATCGAATATGGAGGATGGGGGCTCGATGGGGGGGGGGGGGGGAAGGTTGCCTGATAGTTTATGGATCCGGCGCCATAAAAGATGTAATTGAGGAAACATAACTTCGCCGGCTATTTGTTCTATTGTTCCGAATTGTACGACGAAGACAAGCGGAGTTTCTTTTAGAGGAGATAAGGGTTGATAGTTGATTAGGAGTGCCTCGTTTGTAGCGATAACTGCCCCAGGCTGCGCGTTTTAACCGAAGCGGTTTGGTGCAATAAGAAGTCAACCATGGAACGCATTTGGAAATATAGGGTCAGGAGAAAGGAGGACTGGAAAGAACTGACCAATGGAAAGCTAAGTGGAGAGAATGGAAGCACAGAGAGAGGCCAACGCATGAAAAAGACTGCGTGCATATGTCAGAGGGTGTGGGGCTATCTGAATTAAGAATAATAAGGTCAACTGTGGAGAGGAAGCGCTCTAGGAATCGGCCGCGGGAGTTAGAATCACTCCAAAGAATGGCGGCAGTTAAAATCACCAACTACGTGGAAAGGTAGCTGGAGTTGGGAAATTAGAGTTTCAAAGGCAACAGAGTCAATGGGGTGGGAAGGGGAGAAGTAGACTGAAATAACTGTGATGCAGCGGCGAAAGAAAGATGTGAATAACTGTAAGGGACAGTGGTTTGAAAGGGAGGTATGGTATTAGGTGTTTTCAGATGGATAAGTATAGACGAGACAGAAAGAGAGTGTGATGAAGAGACAAACTGGTAATTGGGCATTGGTATAGGAGGATGTGTACGAAAAGTCTCTTGGAAGCAGTTAATGGATGGATTATAAGAAAAATAAATATGACGAAGATCAGGTCTGTGAGAACGGAAACGGCGAATATTCCAATGTAGAAGAGCTATGCCTTAGCTGATCAATGAGTGATAACGGTTACAGAGCGTGTTGGTGAATTTGAAGGGGAAGGAACTAGGGGGGGAAGAGGAGACTGGTGTCTGAGGAGTAGAGGCAGAGGTAGGTGGAGACGAGTGTGTAGTAGAAGAAGAATGGGTGGAATGTTTTAGTCTGTCTGCTGCGGGTAGTGCGGGGAGGGAGAGGGGAAGGTGATGGGGCTGCAGTAGAGAGTGGTGTCTGGATCTAGAATGGCAAAAATAATTTGACTGGGAAAGGTAGGAGGTAGAAGTGGGGAAGTAAGATGTAGGAGGGATAGGTATAGGGGAGGGTGTAGGAACGTCTTGGGAGGGAGGGGGAGGGGCAGATCGAGCGACATTAGTGGAGTAGGAAGAGAAAAACCTCTTCGACGTGTTTCCTGTCTGGCTTCACGTAGAGTGAGACCAAGTCTGAATCTGCGAGTTGCCACCTCAGACTCAGACTTGTAGGTGGGGCAGCCCCTATAAAATACATTATGGGGGTCGCCACAGTTGGCACATTTACGTGACTATGCAAAGCAGTTTGATGGTTATGACCAGGTTGGGCTGTGGAGCGGCAGTGTTTGGCAGGATGTCCTAATCGCCAACAATTTTGACACTGACGGGGAGGAGGTTGGTATGGTCGGACAGGGAAGGATTCTCCACCAATGTAAACACTAAAGGGAAGGTCAAGTCTACGGAAAGTAAAATTGGAAATGTTGGTGTGGTTTTTCGATGACCTCTAGGAGTAGCACTGTACTGATCATAGTCCGTAAGGCAGGCGAGTAAGTCTTCTTCACAATCTGACCGATTTCTGTTATAGATAGGGCAGTTTGCTGTGGAGATAAAGCGACGGTTCCGTACATGTATTGAGGGTTGGGTGAGGTTCTGCAGGAATGGAGTTGCCAGAGAGATCAGTTCGGAGTTGATGCTATAACCTGGTTTTCAGATGTAACTGTGGCGAGACGTGAAAGATCTGGTAGGCTACGGAAAGAGACTTTGCCTACTTGTTTTAGGAGACATTGCTGGAAGAGAAGTGTGTTGCCAGAGTAAGGAGCTGTGGGGGGGGGGGGGGGGTCACGAAAAATCGGTCTCATTTGGCTGGGCGAAATAGATTTAAGATATTCGAAGAGATGGGGGTGGTAGAAGGACAGGAGCGTGTGGAAGAGGGAGTAGTGTTGAGGAAGGTAGTACTATGGAGAGGTGGACAGTAAGGCTGTAAAGTAGTAACGAGGGAGGATTGATGAAGAAGACTGTGGGGGCAGAGGTGACGAAGTTGAGAACGTTGGGAGAGTAGGAATGTCCCCTGGAGACTGAGTGTTGACTTGGATGGATAATGTACTAGTAGGCATTGAGGAGGGGGTAGTAGATGCAGTATTCAGAGTCGTGGTCAAAGGAGAGCCTGGGGTCGGGGAACCGGGAGAGTTTGAGTTGATGGGGCTATTTGATGAGGGGGCAAGTCTAATTGCCCATAATAATGGTATAACATCTTCATTGTTGGCTATAGTAAGCCTAGAGTATGTTGGGGAGAGATTCAGTCCACCCCTTAGTGTCCCCAGGGGTATGGGCTAGACAACTAAGACGGGAATACCGTGCCCATGCTGTTCAGGCTGTTCAGGACTGGCATAAAGTCAGCCTTACCTCCTTTCAAGCACGGCTCTCACACTTTAGGAAGTGGATAGCAAAAGGGGTTGGAGAAGGGATGGAAACGAAAAGGAGGAGGGGAAAAGACCATGCAAAATTAGTAAAGTTGAGGGGGAGTTCCCCAGCACTGTGAGAGAGAGAGAGAGAGAGAGTGAGAGTGAGTGAGTGTGAGTGAGTGTGAGTGAGTGTGAGTGAGTGAGTGTGAGTGAGTGAGTGAGAGAGTGAGAGAGTGAGAGAATGAGTGAGTGAGTGTGTATGTGTGCATGTGTGAGAGAGAGTGAGTATGAGAGCAAAAGTAAGTGTGTGTGAGTTTTTTCTTGTCTCTATATTTTGCATTTGTATGTTTTTTTAATAGATGCAAATGCATGCCTATTGAAAGCTGGATAAAAAAAAAATAAATAAAGTCCAACAGTTCAACAGATTTCTGTGATCAACGTATGGCAGAAATGAAAACAAAAATCTAAACTAAGTCCGTACAAATACTGGACTTCAGGAAAAAGAAAAGGAAAAAATAAGAAAAAATACTGCAATAGGAAGGAACTGACTGCCCAAAACAATACTCAAAAAACAGATAAATATACCACCATACAGATTAGATTACCAAAACATATTTATATTCATAGATTGGGGGATAAATAAAAAAAACATACAGCATTCATTTCAAATGTTTTACATATATAAAAAAAAACAAGAGAGTAAATCATTTTTCAGTGCTACAGGCCTCTCATCATAAAAGAAAACGAGTTACATATGTGTTACTCAAACCATTACAATAAAAAGATATACTCTAATTCTTCTTTTTTTTATCTGCATCTGAACAAGGAGGCTGTTCACTCCTTTTACAAACTGCATTATTCACAGGTTAATACTAAGACTATCTGGAGATTTTGTACATTTACTTCTTGCATAGGAGGTTTTCTTCGCTCAATCTACCCAACGCATTACAGACGGTATTCAAATTCGTGACGGTTCATACCCCAACTTGCACGGAACAGCTAAAACAACTAGTAATTCAACCCTTGCATTCGTGGTACTTCATCCGAATAGATATCCATGGCGAACCACTACTCATGCTGTTAGATCGTGAATACCACAGGAGCTCTTGCATTCTCCATCAGAACACTTGCAGACACACAATACTGGACTGAAATTAGTTACCAACTCTTTCCACTTTCGATTTCTTTATCAAACCAACATATATACATATACATATACATGTACACACACACACACACACACACACACACACACACACACACACACACACACACACACACACACACACACACACACACACACATATATATACAGATACACATACACATACAGATATGTACACACACACAAACGCACACGCACACACACACACGCACACGCACACCTATATATATACATACATACATATATATATAAATACATATATATTTATGTATGTATGTACATACACATATGTACATATATATATATATATATGTATGTATGTATACACATACACAAATATCTATATATATATATATTTTTTTTTTTCTTGCTGCAGTTCATTCACAAACAAATATATTGTCATAAATTCCAAAATGTAAGACATGAAAATAATGTTTCAAAATTACCTCTTCATTAGCATCAAGTAACTCAGATGCTTACGTATTTACTGAAACATTCATTACAGATCTTGCAACCTGGAATTGTCACTTCTCGTCCACACCTTTTCTACGTTCTACATTTCTCCGTAATGTCAGCCTATAATCTCTCGACCACTATTATAAATAACCTTATACACTTCGAAAGATGGAATGTCATAAAATGGAATTAAGAAAGCTGTTCAGTAAATAAGAGTCTCTCGGCAAACGTAACAAAATAACTTATATGGAGATAAATTACATTAATACGTAAAAAGAAATGAACCTGAAGAACCTATAGTGAATGAATAATAAAAAAAAGAATAACAGCAGACAGAAAAATAACAAATAACAATACTCTTCATACATCATGCATCTACACACTTACACAGAGTGAGGGAAACACAATGACGGAAAAAAAAGAGAAAAAAAGGCAACAATAAATAAATTAACATCACCAAAATATACAAACGCATGTTATAAACAGACACCAATTTATCTTTGGACTGTACAAATGAGTGTTCACAGCAATCGAGTCACAGCAACAACTTTTTTTATCATTTATTTACCTTATGTTCTAATTAAAATAACAATCCCATATATTACTATAATCGTCCTAAATATCGCGACTTTGGTTTCCACTTGGTTGACTGCATCAGGGTATAACTGAGATAGGTGCAGTGCTGTTCCGTGACGAAGGGAACGTAGAAGGCACGCAGTAATCTATGAGATCTGGGTGAAAGAAAAAGGGGGGAGAGAAAGAGAGATTTAATAATATTAATAGTAACAAAACTGGCAGAAATATAAGATAAACCTAGGGAGTAAGTATAATAAACGAGAAAGCATCCACAAGAAAAGTCTGACCTGGACAACAATACCAAGTGACTAAAGAAAAAATAGGTTATAATTTCCAATAACTTCATTCGCCTCAAAGCATAAACCTTAACTCAAGCTACCTTCACATTGTTAGAGTAAAAAGACTAGTTGAAAAAAATTAAAAAAAGTAAATAGAATGAAAGCTTTTGCCATTTTCTGTGACTTTTAGGACAAACCGATACATTTACACAACCGACCTCTGTGCATCCATAAAAGGGACACTATGGAGAGTTATCCAATCCGTAGTGCGTTTCGTATATCTCGGCTCCCTTTCCGTCTCCTCTTCTCTGTCTAAGTCGATCAAGAAGTGACAGGAACTTAACGATATCTGTGGATTGTCCCCAAAATTAGTAAAAATTAGTAAACTACTTGTAATACCCTTGTTAATTCTCAAGAAGATATAAATCAGTACTATCTCGTGTATCTTGCATTAAAGTTTCTCGGAGGATTTATAAAGACTCAAGATTCAAAAGCTTTAACCCCCCCTCCTGGATTTTATCTTGCAGTTCTATTTATCTAATATTAGTAGTAGTTAAATTCCAAAGTTTTAAAACTCCCCTCCTGGATTTTATCTTGAAGTTCCATTTATCAAATAATAGTAGTAGTTAAATTCATTTCACTGTACATACATATCTCGACTCCTCCTCCCTGTTCATGTCGTTCATGTTCTCGGGAATGACTAGGGTTCCGTTGGCCGCCTCCGAATAAGGCTGGGGAAGCTGCCCTCGGAACTCACTCTCGATGAACTGCAAATTCCAACTGTAAAAAGAAAAACAAACAAACAATAGTAAGCGCAATACACATTCTACTTCAGACTCTCCTCCTCATTTTCTTCACATAATATCAGACACCTCTAAACAAATCACAAAGTATTCTGAACAAATTTCTCATTTACATAAGCACTATCATATCAAAAAAGAGAGATACACAAAACATAAAAATACAGAAAAATAAGAGCACACATCTACAAATCCTTTTTCATCAAAACCCACTTTAACCCTGGCAGGAAGAACGAGGACGGGAAACGGTGCCACTCCTTCCCCACACAGAGGTTAATTGGCCGGTCGGTCGGGAAATTCTCCTCTACAGCAAGTCGGTTCAGCTCCATGAATGTTTCCAAGGGGGCGTGGTAGGCTGAAGAAATTCATTTTAGATAACTGGTAGGAATATAATATTATTAGACATGAAGTAACACCCTTAAGCTGGGAACATGAAGGGTTCGGAAAGATTTTACATACTACAAAATCCATACTTATTATAAAAACGAGATAAATGAAACTTTCTAATAAATTTTGTATAATACACGATTAACAAACATATTCCAATCACATATATAACAAGACACCAAACAAAAAATACATCAAAGGCTTATAAAACCATAACAGTACACACACACACAAAAAAAATATATATATATATATAAATAAACAAATAAAATAAATAAACATACAAATAGATGAGCAAATAATGAAAAATACACTAAAACACACAATAACATACCTCTGTACTGCCCAACAATACGCGAAAGGCTTAGCACTGACGTCAGAATAACGATGCAGATTGCAAACCAATTAGTGTGTTGCAGGTAATGTTGTCGTTTTGCTGATAACAAGAATGAGCCCAGTTTTTGACAGCAGTCTGCAATGAAATAAGAGGAAAAAGCATCAATAAGGAGAACATATCTGAAACTAATTCTGGACTTCAATTCCTTTACCTGTTCACAAACACCATATTCAAATGTAATTAAGAAGAAAGAAGAAGAAGAAATAAACACTTCAACATTACTTTCATAATGTATTTTGCAGCTGTGACAAAATGTTTTATCAAAGCAAATTTAATAATTGTTCCTTCACATACCTGAAATCAACAGAAAAATGTACTATAACATAAGAAATTGTGTTTTCTTAAATTTCATCAACATTTTATGGTATTTAATCATTCACACCTAATATCATTAGTTAGACACAAAGTATACACATTCTCACCCCCCCCCCCCCCACCTCATGTCTATCTACATCATCAAAATTCATTCCTGCTATTACATTACTACTACAGTGAAGAGAACTAGAATACCCTCCCACAAATAAGCAAGAAACCACTCAAACAATGGGAAACAAAGAAGACCCAGGCCTCCCCTACCAATGGTAATGGCTCCGGCAAGGCAGATCAACGGGTAGACTGGGAAAAGGAAGCGCTCCTCCTTATGCGGTTGCAGGATGAAGACGAGGAGCCACAGGTAGAGTGGGGAGAGAGTGAGCCACAGTGGGAGGTACATACTGCTCTTCTTGGGCAGCTGTACTAAGTAAGACACCAGTGTCTGTTAAGGAAGGGAGATGTTAAAAAATAACTATGTATGTTCTACCTCATGCCTCATGGTAACTCACCACACTATCTCATATGGCTGACTGACTGCTATCTAAAAAAAATCAACAAATATTTCCCCTAAAAAATGAATAGCAAGAATTTAAAATAATACAAATATTTACAGCATAATACTATATAATATCTTTTCATTCTTGCCTATATTATACATGCAACAAATTATATCAAATGTAAACACATTTACAAATTTCAAGGACATAAAACTATATACCTCTATCTTGCACTTAATTTAACAACACATGACTTTCAGCACTTACATACATGGGAAGGGATGCCAGTGCAGCTAAAAACACAACATTAAAATTCAGGAAGCCATTGAACATATAAAAACTCCACGGTTCAGTGCCATAAAGGTCTGGACCGTGAGAAGTGAAGATGTTGTACTTCACGATGTTCAAAGGAGCAATGACGAAACTTCCAAAGTAGTGAGAATCTATCTGGACCATTGGAACCTGGAAAGGTACGTTTGAAAATGTTAATAAAATCTGATAAAAAATATAGCCATTTTCAGCATCATACTTACATGCACAAACCATAATTTATATATTTCCATACACACCCCCCCGCCCACACACACACAAGCACACCAATCCCCTTTCCCCTATACATATATAGATATATAGATAGAGAGATACAGATATATAGATATAGATATTAATGTAAATTTACATACAGTATATAGATACAGATATAAATATAGATGTACAGATATTTAGAAGGAGATATAGGGATGAACCATCAGATGCTATCAAAAGTGTTAATGATATACATATAATACCTGAACCTTTATTGTAATTCTGACAGCAATTACAAATACTGTATTCACTCACCAAAATAGTGACCATGGATATTATGCACCACTTGACAAACATGAAAATCTGCTGCTTGCGAAAAACAATGTCATATGCGATGGGGATCCTGTGGAAAAAAAAACAAAAAAAACATGAAAATGAAAAAGGGGGAAAGATAGAGAGAGAGAAAAAAAAGAAAGAAAGAAAAGACATCTTTCCCTGTCCCTCCTTTCTTTCATCTCCTTTTCCCTTTCTTGTCTCTATTTCTCTCTCTCCAAATATATAATATATATACACACCACACTTCATAGACCTACACGTTCTGTATGCACAATACAACAAAAATATGCATAAAAAAATAAATAAATAAATAAAATAAATAAAAAATTATAAATAAATAAACAAAAAAACTAAAACTAAAACCACTAACATTACTTACCCAATAGCAGCTGCAAAAGGCCAGCCAAGGAAAGTAGAAATAGCAGTAGTAAAAATAGCAAGTTCGTAACTCTGATGATACCAAGCTCCCATTGACATGAAAGTCATGTACCTGCATGGAATAGACGGAAATGCAGTTAGAAGGTAAAAGGAACCCACGATCTTTATCTAAGAAAAAAACAAGCAAATCTCAATATAAAATAAAAATTCAATACATAAATTTATTTTATCTTTAATTATCCTCGTTTTATACTCACACAACTTTTGTAATCCCATTTCAAAAATGACCAAATGAAATTCAAATGAATAAATGCTTGGCTTTGGCATTCAAAAAAAGTAAATAATAAAAACATTAACATATACAACTTCATAGACAAGCAATACAATTAATAATAAAGTCCAGGAGATAACAGTAACTTTCTGGGGAACTTAGCTACGAGTCAACGACAACCTTGGAAGAAAAAGAACAGAAATAACAGCAACATGAAGATAAAAAAGATATTTCTTCTTATTATCTGACTTCTGCTTTAACAAGTCTGTAATGATAAATACCTACTGCATACTACCTCAAGCTGATTATGTAAATAACCTTTGACAAATCAAGGTAAAGGTGAAAAAACAAACACACACACACACACACACACACACACACACACACACACACACACTCACACTCACACACACACAAACACACACACACTCACTCACTCTCACTCTCTCACTCTCTCTCTCACTCACACACACACTCTCACACACACACACACTCACACTCTCACCCACTCACTCACTCACCCACTCACTCACTCACCCACCCATTCACTCTCCCACCCACCCACTCACTCACCCACTCACTCACCCACCCACTCACTCACTCACCCACTCACTCACCTACTCACTCACTCACTCACCCACCCATTCACTCACACACCCACTCGCTCACCTACTCACTCACTCACTCACCCACCCATTCACTCACACACCCACTCACTCACCTACTCACTCACTCACTCACTCACCCACCCACTCACTCACCCCATCTACTCACTCACCAATCACTCACTCACTCACCCACCCACTCACTCACCCACCCACTCACTCACTCACCCACCCACTCACTCACCCACCCACTTACTCATCCACTCACTCACCCACCCATTCAGTCACCCACCCACTCACTCACCCACCCATTCACTCACCCACCCACTCATCCACTCACTCACCCACCCATTCACTCACTCACCCACCCATTCACTCACCCACCCACTCACTCACTCACTCACCCACCCATTCACTCACCCACCCACTCACTCACCCACCCACTCACTCACCCACCCACTCACTCACCCACCCACTCACTCACCCACCCACCCACTCACTCACCCACTTACTCTCTCTCTTACATTGCAAAACTCGAAGGAAGATAAGCAGTCGAAGCGATGAACATTCCCGCGGCAAAGACAAGGATGCTGAGAGTGAGCCTCCCAACATTTGCCCCGAATTCCTTGCAGATCCCCCTGGAATAAATGGAGGAATTATAACTTCTAACATCTGTCTTTCGTATAATTTTCTCTCGAGTCAGTATTGCAAGCACAAAATCTCTCATGAAACCTGGCCTATTATGAGTTCAATAATCTTTAACAAACTTCTTTATGGAAAACAGAGTGAAGATGATGATAAAGATAGCAATAACAGAGATAATACTAATAATAAAAAGTAATAAAAAAGTTGATGATAACAGTTCTAAAATATAATGATAATCTAAACAATACTAACAATTAATAATGAAAACAACACAAACATCTATAATATAAAATACCAATGTTAAGAGCATTTTGTAGTAGATATAATAATAACATTCATTTCATTAATCTGGCAAATTCATATTGAATAGTAATAGTCATAATAATATTATCTCTGATGATACCACCACTATCACTATCATATACAATTACAACAGTTTTAATAATACAAATAAAAAAATATAATGATAAAAGTACTGATAACAAAAAATTATGAAAAACAACAAAAGCAAATATAATCATGACTTTAAACATAACAATAAAAATATTTGAAAACAAAGATAACTGCATTTTTTTTTTTTTTTTTACTATCAACATCAATAGAAGAATAACAAAGCAGTTATACAACACAGCAATAACAATGACAGAAACAAGCATAAGAGACAACAGGCAAGAAAACCCTTTCCCACCCCAGCAATTACCGGTAGAAATACAATTCGCAGCCTGAGCATCCGAGGGCCAGCATGCACCGGATGAAGAAGAAGACCAGCATGCGGTTGGACTGCAGGAGATTGGAGTAAATCCAGCCGGGGACCGCGTGGATCAGGATGTAGGTGTAGGAGCGCAGGGCGTACTGGGGGGCGTATTCCCACGTCTGGAATCCCTTGCCGTACAGCAGGTAGTGGGTCTGGTCGAGGGGAGATAATGGATTTCGTTATGCGAGAGAGAAGGATGGAGGGTTGGAGGGAAGGGGGGGAAATATGGAAGAACAAGTAGTTATAATGTTTGTAAGTCTAATACTACTAACCACACGAGTAATAATCATATAAATATGAAATACAGTGAAAAGTAATTCATCAACATTATCTTATTCATCTAAATCTATCAAAATAATAAAAAAAGAGGAAAACATAGGACATTAATCCCACTAGGTCATTCCTATCTACCTATGAATTCTTTAAATCATTGAAGCTAAAATCAGAAAATAAGGATTGGTATATTTGTCACTTTATGATCCTTCATGCAAAAATTATGGTAATTCTTTACAGTATGGATGCACCTGCCAGAGACTAAGCAACAAATCCTGGACACAAAATTAATTAAACAATCTAAGCTGCTGTGACTGAGTGTGCCCTTCTGGCACTGCCCGAGGGGAGAGGTGATGGGGGTCTATGCCCCGCAACACCACCTGGGAAACATTGTCTTGACCTTAGTCTGCATAGCAAGATAAAGTTGAAACTTGAACAGTGTTTTCTATGAACAGTGTTTTCAGCAATATTTTTCCTTTATTTGTAGCAACACCACTTGTGTCTGCAGATTATTTCTTGTGCTGACAACTACAACTTTTTGTCCTCTACGAGAATATCATCTTCAACTTGCTTAGCGAGTCCACACTGTAAAGATTAACCAAACTTACTCAATACACGCATATAAAACAAGTATGGAAAAATTTTATTAATGAGGAATAGAAACACAAGCAATCAGAGAAACCTACCGGCTCCCAGTAGTTGTAGGTTTCATCGCAATCGTTGATGAGGGCCCAGATGGCAGCACAGAGCCGGGCAGAGAGGAGCGCCTTGAGAGCTGTGTATGCTCCTGGTGTCCAGGGCTCGACTACAGCTATTATATTCTGTCCAGTATCCTCTCTCTCTTTGGAGCTGGGAAGAGAATATATACTTATTACACAAAACAAAGTAAAGTATATAATCCCCTGATTATAAGCCATGTCACTAGTTTATAATTTACAACAGGACCACACACACCAGAGACCAAATCTCCAACTCAAATTAACAAAATCATGAATTCCAACCTAAACACACAAAACTTCCTCAAACACACCTGCATGAATCAAAAACCTTTCCTCCAAAGGGACTTTGCCTCTGAGCCACCTAACCCCCTGAATGCCTTACTTCTCTAGAGAATGTATTCTTTATCCCTGTAAATCACCCTGTGCGATTTTAACCCTTCAGTGACGGTATCAGAAATCTCTCGGTGTCGCTGAATCCGATGACTTCTGGCAACCGGGAGTCCACTACAAATTACGGAACTTTCTGCTCAATATGCTCTAGAGTGTCATGATGCCTGTAGCTGTACCGTGTGATGAGGTGGTTTGTTATGACGGCTATAGGCATGGCCCAGCAGATACGGGTTAAAAATTAGACCATAATATTATAGGGCTATGCTCATCATAGGCATACTATTCAAGTGCACTTAGTTTTATAACTTTCAAACAATTACTTACACCACATAGAATGAAAATATGAAATTGATCTTATATATTTTAACCGAAATCTTTAAGCAGAAACAAAATCTGCTTGTATACCACCTATTTTCAACTAATTGGTGGTCACACTTCACTAATTATGTCTGATTCCTACCCTATTACCTAAAATTACTCCAGAAATAATTATCAAGTAGTTCAGGCGTTAGAGATGGACCAGTGACGGCTGATATGCTACAGAACAGAGTAGCTTCCACATAAACTGATATATAATGGATAGATAATGTTATTAACAGACCTGTAGTGACTGACCTTCTGACATTTATAGAAATAACATTTATAGAGAGAACATTTATAGAGAGAACATATATAGAGAGAACATTTATAG